TTTATAAGCAAATATTTTTTTCTACAAAAATTATTAATTAATTAGGTTTCTTCTTTTCTTAACATTTAAAGATTTTTCTGATAATAATTGTTTGCTAAAATTTAGAAAAAAAAAAAAAAAAAAAGAAAAAAAAGATTTGAAGTATTTATGTAGCAGTTTAAATAACTATTAAGAAAAAAAAGAAAAGACTATACGCGGGAAATCTGTGAAAAAGTTGAAAAGAAAAAAGAAACGCTGAAAATGAGATAACGATAAAGCGGCTGACGCGACCGGAAAAGCGGTGAAACTAAGTGGGATAAAGTTTTCAAAAGCAATTTTACTTTGTCTGTAAAAAAAAAAGGGTTGCAAGCAGCAGTCATTAATGATTTACTGCAAAGGTTTAGAGGTTTAAGGCTTATCGTTTAGCATTATTGATAAGCACGACTAACCATGATACAGGCTAAATTGTCTTTATGTTAAAATTGAAATTTGAATACCAGTTGAAGGACTTCATTTTAATCGCTGTTAAGACTGATAATTATGGTTTATTTTTTGCTTTGCCTTGCTTTTTTTGCAGTCTTAATTCTTTCGGTTTTCTAAGTTTTCGTCTAGTATTTTTTTTCTGATTTTAATCTTCAAAAGTAAAAGTTATTTGCGTATCAAAATGTTTCTGTGAATGTATCAATTCAAATTCCAATAACGGATGCCTGTTATTGTTGTTTTTGAAACATGTGACGGTGGCGTACCGCAGTAACTATCTGAATGACAGTTAAAGGGTTTTGCTCATTAATAACTGCTGCCTAAAGTTAAAAGTTCATTGTCAAAAAAAGCAACAAAAAACCTCAGTCAAATTCTCCAATCTTTTTTCTTTTACAAGTATTTTAAAAAATAAAAAATTTTGTGATTGATAAGAGGGTCTCGTGACTGAAAATGCTCATCGTTGCTTCTTTCTTTTCAACTTTAGTCTTAGTTTCCAGTCTAAAAGATAAAAAAAAAAGAAAACTTTGAAGAAAAATTTTAACATTTACAGATTTAAAAAAAATATTTTTTTTTTTTGCATTTATAGAAAACATTTGTTGGTATATTGCTCTTTATGAGTTCATTAGGAATTGGCTAGATCAAAGCATGTAATACGGAAGTTGTTGTTTTATACATGTGTGACACAAAAAAACATCTGTAGCAATCTTTTGGACAACCACAACAGATTCGGTGTATAAATTTTACAGTATATTATAATTGTAATAGCGTCTCGAATAACTTGTTTCAAACAATTAACACCTTATTTAAGTCTACTGAACAAGGTCCTATAACTATTGCGGAACTGCTCTAGTTTTATTGCATTGAAAACGGGGGATAGGGGGGTAAGGGATGTGCAATAGTTTTAGTTTATTATGCAGTTGTTTTGTTGAAACAATTCACTTGAAACTTTAATTTAAAGTGCAATTTTGTACAGTCAAAATAGATAGTTTGGGTAATTGTAAAACAGAGAGTGAGCAGTACTGCAAAAAATGATTCTTTTTGATTGTATGATGCTTGAGTACAAAATACATAGTATTTTGTTTGTGTTCAACTGCCAACCTTCTTCTCTGCTCTGTTTCTTGTCAGAAATTAAGAAAAACAAAGACATTTGAGGTAATAATTGTTTTGTTCTTGATCTATGACGTCAGTTTGTCGTCGTAATAATGTTGATGTTTGGTGAATTGATTAATTTAGAACTGGAGAACTATGGATAATGCTACGAGATGAAAAAAAAAAAGGAAAAGAAAGAAAAAAGAAAGTTCTAAAACTACTCTGTGAATTTAAAATTCTCTGCTTAAAAAAAAAGATTTTTCTCGATTATTGGCAAAGTAAAAAAAATACTGCCAAACTTGTTTCTTTTAACAATGTAACTGACATCAACTGTTTAGAATCATCATCTGCAGATGAACTTTGATCAGTGTTGCGTGACCTTGCTTGAAGGAAACTGCATTCAAAGTTCGGTCAGAAGCTTTCCTAAAAACATCTTTTTTTTTTTTGGCTTCTATTTATTGATGTCAAGCAAATTTTTCTGGTTTTTTTTCTTCTCATTTTATTGAACTTTTATCATAGATTGCAAAAAGATTAATTTACTGTTTTTAAGGTCAAAAGCAGCTCAAAAAATCAAAAGAAAGATTATTTCATTGCATTTATTCATTTATTTATTCATTCTTTTGGAAAATTTTACTTTTTGGTTTTGTATTTTTTGAACTGTTCAAACTTATTTAGTTGTCTTTTTTTTTTTGTTTTTTTGTTTTTTTGTTTTTTTTTTTTTTGAGAAAAGAGGGCTAAATAATTGTCTAAAAAAGTGTTTTTGGCTAGCAAATTGCAATAATTGCATAATTATTTTTGTTTTTAAAATTTAAACGAAAGTTTCATCGCCGTCCTCTTATTAGTATATTCTTTCATTCACCTATCGTCGAATAACCAAATACAATCATCCATTTAGCAGTCAATTTTTGGGAGATTAAATGACATAGCACCAACAGCAGTTTCTCAGGTTGTTAAAAAGCAAACAGTGATTTGCTGTACTGTGCTCAATAATCGAACCATTTTTGTTGTGGTCCCAGAAAATCTCTTTCGTTGTTTCAATTCTCCCCCTTTCCCAGCCCCGTTCTTTCCTCCACTTCCCCACTACCCCGCAATTAAACAGGTATTTTTTGACGGCAGAGGCAGCAACAGCATCAGCAGCGCTTAGTTAACTTTAAACATAAATCTTTTTCTGTAAAAAACTTACAATTTTTACAATTTTTGTTTAGTATCAAAACTGTACTGCAGCTTTTTATTTATTCTAAGTTTTTTTTTTGTTTACTGTTTCTGCAACAGCAGCAGCAGTAATAGCGAAAGAACTGAAACGCACTGAACCTAAGCAGTTGACTAGAGGCTACTTCATAATCAGTTCTTCTTTATATCGGGTATTTCTCTTCTTTGTTGTTGTTGCTGTCGTTCGTTTTTTCTCTCTTTTTGTAGCTTTCTTCAGCAGTTAACTTAAACACTTGTTAAATCAAAAAAAAAACCTTTTTTTTGACATTTGCTTATGTTGCAGTGAATGATAAATGATTGAGCAGTTAAAGAAAGTTCAAATGTAAATATTACGAGAAAAAAGTGCTTGTTACAAGTCTTTATAAAAGACTGATAACAAAAGTGATCTTTGATTAAGCATGTAAAGTATCTGATAAAGATCATATAAACTTTTTATCTAACAGTTTAGTCAATTGTCGTTTTGAAGTAAAAAGAAAAATACCAGTTAAGCAGAATTATATTTTGATTAATATGAACTTTTTCAATTGTTTTTATTAAAATTATTTTAATTAATTTTAATTAATAAATTTTAAGCAAAAGAAAAAAAGCGTTTTTTTCAGTATTTTTTTGCTTAAAGCAATCAAATAATTAATTGAATGTTTGGCTTCAGATACTGAACCAGGTCCATATTGGGCCAGTCGATGTATGGTCACTGATGGTGTCCTGTTATCGTTTTTCAGTCGTCATTTTTGGAAGATTCTATTACCGTTGGTCGAGTTGGTTCTACAATTTTTTTTGCCAGCACTTTTGTTAGTGGCATTGCATATCGGATTTTTTCGCGAACCTGTAATTGAAGGCTACGATAAACAGTAGGAAACTGTTTGATGACCTCAAATAACAGTACAATAAAAAATACAATGCAAAGTTATTATACAGAAACAAACATTAAAATTACAGATGGCCTGTCAATTTAAAAGCTATTACTGAGATACACTAAAAAAAAAATTATTACTAGATATAGCAAATAAAATTTATATTAATCAATTAAAAAAAAATTTACTATTATTCTTTTTTTATGTTTTTGTTGTTATATATTTGTTTAAAAATTATTATCTTTTAGCAATCGTTTAAAAAAATCACCACGAAGTCAGTCTAAGATACTAATAACTGCTGTAACGGTGGTCTTTCTTGTAGTTCAGGTACCGACAGCGATATTTACGGCAATGTCACTACTTGTAAATAACTTCAATAATAATCGACTATGTAAGTTGTCATAGTTAATAAAAAGTTAAAATTTAAAAAAATTTTTATAATGATTAGCTGGATTGCTAAATCTTCAAAAGCGACATATAGCAGTTAACTCAAAAAAGAAAAAGAAACCAATTTTCTTTAGAGTGTAAAAACAATTTTCAAATACATCTTTCTCGTTATTTCTGTACTCAGTTCAATTTCGTATTTTTTGTTAACTCTATTTACCACATTATTGCTGAAAGTTTAATAACGACATAAAAGTTTCAGTGACTCGACTTGTTGTTATCTTTGCTCATATTCAACCACTGCTTTCATTGGCAACAATTGTTGCAAACAATTCAGCATTACTGTTCGCATATTATGTTATTGTTAAAGATGATGATACTGAGTTCAGTGAGGAAGAATCATTGTACGACAGTGAGACTCCAGCAGATAGTCTGTTACGAAAACGTAGATCAGAAAATCCACGAAGAAGCATTGACCCAACAGGGTGAGTAATGTTTGTCTAGTCGTACAAAAAAAAAACAAGTTTTTTGAGCACCTAAAAACGGTTGACAGGAATAGATACCCTTTATTTTGTCACTTTAGTATTTTCAGACTAATACCTTATTTAGGCAATATTTATCGGTGAGTAAAAGTTTTGACGAAAGTTCGTTGCTGTCCAGCAGCCGTCGAGGCAGTCCAGAGCCTGAACCAGTGTTTCTCTAAGTGTTTTATGGGTCCAGTTTCAAGTGAAACGATTTATTATTCTATTAGCGAAACGGGATTTATTCTTTCAGCGGTTTATCGATGACGATAAGCTGTCATTATCTCAACTTTTTCCTTTTCTCAGCGAAGTTCTTTAGAAATAGAAGGATAGTTAATCAGGTAGTTAGTTTATTCGTTGTTGTTCTACTGTCTAGACCAAAGTGGTTCCGGTAATTATGTGCTAAAGTTTTTAATGACGGTCAGTCCTTAACACTTTCATAAACTTCTTATTGGCTTTTGCTCTAGCAAGATGTTTTTAAACTGATGTTGTATAGCTGAACACAATTGTCTGAAGAAACTGTAAAAAAAAAAAAGTAGTAAAGAATTTTTAAAATTGGTAGAATTTAGCATATTGATTTAAACCGTTTATCAAACCAGTTTGCAACGCTTAAACTGTTGTCTTTTTTCTGTGCTTCTTGTCCGGTTACTTATATAATCAATTGCTCATTCATCAGTTTGTTACTGTTATCATAAAAAAGCAGAAAAAAAATGAAAAGAAAAATTTTATTCAAAAATTTTTTTCACTATTTGGTCTTCAAAGTTGCTAATTGTCAAAATATAAAGAAAAAAAATGTCAATTAATAATCATCTTCAAACAATTACCTGCAGCAATATAATGTAAATAAACGACATGATAAAAGATTACTAATTACTGTTAACAATACAAACCAAAATTATTTGCTTTTCACCGGCTAGTAAACTGCTAAAAGTGGACAATAATGATCATTCTAAACAGCAAACCACAACCAGATAACACTATAATACAAATAGGTTAGTAAAAATAATTGCTTATTGAGTCGTATTTGAACACAAAAAAAAAAAAAAAAATGAAAGAAAATTTGACAAGTAAATGAGTATCAGATTGCTATTATCAGATGGTTTTGCTGCGAAGAAAAAATATATAATCATATTATAAAAATCAAAATGATCAGTTTATTCTGTTTGTACAGTTCCTTTTGATTAAATAAACTAAAATTGAATAAGTCCCATATTTTTAATATAAGACGGTGAAAGCAAATACACCTATTTGACAAAAACAGAAGAAAGGGAAGAAAACATTTGGGTTTATGAACAATACTTATAGACAATTTTACATGACATTTGCTGTGGTGAATAACAAAGGCACCGTCACCTGGTTACTGTGCGGTTAAAACGGTCTGAAAATCCAAAAGTCAGATAAGGTTGGCCCCATCGTTGAAGTTCAGAAGCAACATTGTAGAAACTTCTTACCTAATACCGAATTAACTGCATATTCTGACGAGCCTGTTCGACCTTCACGTAAATACCCATCGAAATGGGTATACGCCATGAGTCAGCTGCTGTCACATTTTTCGCGAAAAATTGGCGAATCGGGATAAATAGGTGAGGTAGAAGCTGAAGTTCCGGCACTACTTCTGAAATAGGATTTTTCATAGTTCCTGAGTTATATTAAATAAACAAAGAAACGCTAAGAACATGAGGAGATGGAGGAGCTAGTACCTGGAACTGGGCACTAACTTGTGCTGATCGTCACAGATATCACCGAGCAATTCACGTATCAACGGATCTCCCGGTTGTTCAGGACAAAAAGCATGATTTAATTGAATCAGTTGCTCCAGCTGTGTAGCCACAGTCTGAAAAACTGTTTAACTAACAAAAGCGTTTTTCTGAAAGCAATGATCTTACCGAGAAGGTAAGAGGATTTGATTAAAAAAAAAAGATGATTACAGCGATTTTGGAAAGAAGATGAAGCAATTTTGAAAATCGAATTGTGGCATTGGAGTTCACATAATGTCCGGTACAATGTTCATACAATGCATTGTGAACACTATCTGAGACAGATGAAATTGCTTGAACGGCTCCAAAAGAGAGACCATAAATTTCTGCAAGATAAACATTGATAATCAAATTTGTAGTTGAATCGACAAACTTCAGGAATTTTTTTCTGTTTTTGTTTTTACGCATTGATAAAAAAATGGTTCTAATTTGTTGTACAATAAATGTAGTTAATTAAATTAACCTGGATCAAGACAAATTATTGCCTTCATCATTGCAATCTCTTCTTCATCCAACTGTAACAGGTACACTGGTTTGATCAGAGATGAAAAGCTTGTTTCAGCTGGATCAGAATTCAAAAAACTAAAATATTTTTTGACTTAATTATCTGCATTGATTGCAAATGATCAAAGAAAAAAAAGAAAGTATAATTAATTCAAAAACGAAAAAAATACCATTGAGTGAGGTATTTAGCACTAGCGACAAATGCATTGTCGCTTGAAAGACCCAATTGAGAAGAATTATATAGCAAATTTACAGCTAATATACATAGTTCAAGTACTGCCAAAGGCGCAAAGCAATTACGTAGCAACAGCATCTAAATGATAAAAAATTGTTTAGGATAAACATATTATTTTTTCTGATGTAAAGATTTGCTTTTACTTTAGAGTTCAAAAGTTCAATTAAATTTCTGTAAATTTTAGTCAGGTTTATCCCTTTTTCCTCTTTTTTTTGTTCTTTTTTTTGAACGTGCACTTTCTTTCATCGAAATTCAATGCAAATATTACAGAATATGTTATGGTAATACTTTGGGAAAACTTTGGGAAAACCAAAAAGTATACTGCGACACATTTGTAAAACAGCAAATCCCTTATCACCGTATCACTTCTTGTCTACTTTTTCTTTTTCTTTTCAAAATCACAAAACTCAGAAAATATTGAGAAAGAAAACTGGGGATTTTTAAAATCAAGAAAGAGTCAAAATTTAAAAAAAAATATAAAAGTTTTGGTTTACAACGTCTAATACCCCAGCAACAAAGTAAATCTAAAAAAAATTTTTTTTTTGAATAATCGCTGAAATTCTCTATGGTAAATTGTCCCGGATGCTGCTGAAGTTCAAAGTTTTGCATCCGGCGACAGAGAGAAATACGTTTGCAGATAGCTTCGAATCGAATCTGCGCTCTGCTCGACGTCCATTAAAACCGTGAACATCTCCAGTTCACCTCTTCGTTTCTGTCGTTTAGCTTTTCAGGCTAAGTTTTCTATGTATCATAAGACGAGCACACACCGTCCGCATTTTATGTTCTCGTTTCCTTTCTTTTCATGAAAGCAGTTTTTTTGTTATCAATGGAGGTTTGGTTTTCAGACAGAACTAACGCAACACACTCACCTTTCCAGCGAGTTATTGTAAACACATACTGATGTTTATGTCTTCTATTAATATTTGCTGTTTTTTAATACTCTTTTTTTACTTTATTTTTTAGTTATTTATTTATTTGTTCATTTTTTTTGATAGGGGACTGCAGTTTTAAAAACTTACTTGTTTTACTGGTTGAAAAACCTCATTAAAACTGTTTAACACCTAAAAAGTAAATTTAATTACCTTTTCATCTACGGTTGCTGGAACTTCAAATGCAGTAAGAAATAAAATCCAGTCAACAGCTCCAACCAGCAGTCGTCTACTTTTTGGAAGCAGACCTTGAACCGCAAATAAGTCTGAATCTTTTATTTGAACAGACATCATCTAAAAAAAAAAAAAAGAAAAAAGAAGAAACAATTAGAAAGCTTAGAAGAATGTCAGGTTGTTAAAAACTTCAGAACGTAAGTGTATGTACCGGTGTTCGATCGTAATCCATACGGTACGGTTCCAGTAATGCTTCTCTTAGAGTCTGTGGTGGAGAAGTAAGAATTGGTTCACTGACACCTTTGCTCACTGCACGATCAATTTCAACCAGCCATCTGATAAGCTCAATATTTTTTGCAGATGTTACGAGCATATTTTGCTAAAATTCCGAAGTTAATTAAAAATTTTAGTACTGTTGTTATTGAATAATGATTATTTATTGAAATTGATCTTTGTAAAAAAAAAAAAAAAAAAAAACTAGAAAAATTTTTTAAAATAAAACTGTGCTAAACAAATACAATTAAGATAAAACTGTTCCAGTAATGTAGGTGGAAAACAAATCGTATAACAGTGGAATGTTAACTTTGTATAAATAAACATAATAAATTCAAAAATTATGTACATTTTTCTCTTCTTTCAGAAAAAAGTAATTTAAAGTGACTACAATTTTATAGCCCTCACTGCTTGTTGTATGTCAGATAGCTGATTTGATCGGTGTACGAGGAAAGAAAATTTCAAGTAAGATTTACAGTTCCCTCATTTGAAAAAACAAAAAAACGTATTTTTACTAATGTATCAAAGCAGTTTACACATTTAAACTGTAAGTGAACTTTCTGTCACCCGATAACATCGATGACTCATAGAGAACACACTTTGATTGGTAATAATCCCTCTCAGTTACTGATGACAATAATACGAAAAAACTATTGTAAGTGTTGTTTGTAACAAACAAGAAAACAAAGGTCAATTTAAGATCTGAGTATATTATAGGCTATTAAACTTGTAGTCTTGTCGACTGAATCATTTTTAGTTATCACATAAATGTAAAAGGTTTTCGACCATTGAAAATCCGGTTTCAGGTGGTTTTTTCTTGTACTTACACTGTTTATTGCAAGTTTAGTATAAGATACGAGTAATTTAGCAGATTTTTTATTCTACCTTTTTTACAGTTTTGATGTGTTAGATAAAACCCTAACTTTAGAAAAAAAATTACATTTGATTTTGTGTCATATTCGAACTGCAGAAAAAAGAAAAAAAAAAAAGGAAATCCACTTTTTCCTTAAAAAAATTAGTGTCAAACAGCAGTCAAAACTTACCAAGTCAATACTTTCACATTTCGTACATTTGTCAGTTGCAAACACAGCATTTGTTTTTATCGTTTCCGTAGATTCTGGATTTTTGGTGCTGTTTGCTTTATTTTTAGCTGATAAAGGAAGTTTCTCCATTCGAACAGCTGCAGTAAATACTGGTTTTCTATTACAAAAAGAATTCTTTTTGCTTCTTTTTTTTTTTTTACGATCAGTACAGTAAGACCAATTAGTTTGTAAACTGGTAAAAATCTGTTGATAGTAATCTTTTTTGTGGCTTTGATTACGCAGTTACACGGTTTATATCAAAAAAAAAAAAAGAACAAACCTTCAGGTCTCATGCCTGCTTTTAGACAACGATCAAAACGGCATTTTCTGCATGTGTTACGACCATCTGAAAAAAGAGGAAAACGAATTTTCAGCCGATAGAAAACTTTGTTGTAATATGATTGTTTTTTATCTTTTTTTATTGCTCTTTCCTCGTAAACAGCTATTATCTGCCCTTAGATGTTATTAGATAGTAACATTAAAATTTTTTTTGGTACTATAAATTAAACCCTAATAACAACAACATTGTGGAGTACCCATTATTAAGCTTAATTCGTGATACTTAGTTCCTGTTGCTGCTACCTACCTGTTTTACTAAGATTGTTGAAATACTCTGTTGCTTTATGAAACTTTTTATTGTCAGCTTACTTATCTCGTAAAAACTAAAAAATGTAAGATCTCGGCTTTTCCGCATCTTATGAATAGCGGTATTACAACAAAAACTTCAAAAGAGCTTTTTTGGTTACCATAGTCGTCAAGAACTGCAACGTTAATTTTTTTAGACACTTGGCTTGTTTTTTCTATACACTATACTGTGACACTGGTTTACTCTTCTGTCCTACCTCAAATATCGCTGGGTTTCAAAAATGGGAATTGTTCTTCCGTTGGCAAAAAATACCGCTAAATTTTTGATGCCGTCAATGAAGGGAGGTTGAATAGCAAATATTGTTGAAGTTGTTTCGCCGAACATGATTTTCCATACTTCAGTAAAAAGGAATCCAAACATTTTAACTTATAAGTCGCCGGATAGAAAAAATAATTGTTTTGTCATATGACAGCAACACATTCCATCAAAATTTTGTCCTTTTGCCACAGTTAAAAAACTGGGTGTTGTTTCGTCTGATTTTTAGCCAGGATGCGAACACCAAACTCTGTATACAGAGCAGTCTCTTGACATTACTTTAGATGGACATAATTTAACTTTCTAACAACACTCAAAAACTAAAAATAAAAGATGCTTCAGATGACCTGAAAACAGCAAAACTGAAGCCGACAGCAACAGCTCAAAAACACCAAAACCTCAAAGGTGCAACTTCTCGGTATTAACTGCCTTCTTAGCCCCTATCACTCAAATTCCCTCAGCTCTACTATTCAAAAAAAAAAAAAAAAGTGTTTCTGATTTGAAAAATAAATAGATAAATAAAAGATGGATTTTTTTCTTTGCATAGAGGTATTGTAATAGTTGTGTTTTTCACCAAAAAAAAAAAAAATTAATTTTTGCTTACTGACGTCAATGGCGCAGTTGCCACCGAATCGGCAGACATATTGGGCATTTGTCTTGACGGAACGCCAAAAAAAGCATTTGCATCCGTGGCATGCGGCGACACCATAGTAATGGTGACTGCACGCTCTGTCACCGCAAACAACGCACTGAAAAAACACCACTTCTGTAAGATTCAGAATCCACGGCACTTCCACCTCGTCACGCTTTCTCCCCCGAACTCCTCAACTGACCTCTTCCAAACAGTGTGCTATCACTGCCTGTCTTTTGCGCATTATTTCATTTTTTTTTTCACTTAATCTTTATATACAAAGGAAGATTTCTGTTCCTTTATTCTTTATTCTTTTTTGGTTTTTGTTTTTGTCTTTTTTTTCTTCATCTTAACTGTACGTTAGACGATTAGGTCTACAGAAAGAATCTGCAATAAATTAGAAGTAGTCAATTTTTCAGATGAAAAAACATTGATAAGATTGCCCGTTTCAAAATTTTCTAGGGACTTTCTGGTAGGCCTAATTGCAGCACAATGTACAGTTCGTTTCGTCTACAGTAGCAATGTACAACAAGATGTCTAATTTATCAAAATATTAGAGGCAAAAGTTAATAATATCGACAATAAATGTTACAGTAAAAGCAGTTATTTACTGAGAAAGACAGGCAGTTGTCTCATTCTTTTTTTCTCCCTATTTATTACCTGATCGTTATGATGATCAGCAGAGTTCGGACTACAAGCACCGGTGTGACGACGACTTTTACGAGAACTCCTCTGGTTGCTGCAAGGTTGGGCTCCAGATGCCATTTAAATTTTTGTTTTATTTTAATTTGGAATGCGTAACACTGAAACCGTGGAACCAACTTAGCAGATCTATTATACAGCTGATATTGTGCTATCGATATCAAAAACGCGTTTAGTTGTAATCGGGCGGAGTATTCGGAAAATAAAGAACAAAAATTTCAAAGATTTTTTTTTCTTTATTTTTTTTCAAAAACAAAATAAATAAGTGTTAAGCGAAAAATGAAAAACGATGCAATACTAATTTTTTTCGGGCGTAAAATAAGTTTTGATTAATTTTTTCAAAATTTTTTTGAAAATTAATGTAATAATAAAAAAGTTTTTTTTCCATTTTTAGGAGGGTAAAATTTATTTATTTTAAATTAATGAAGCAATTTTTTGTAGAGATTGCAATCGTTTTCAAGTTACTTATAAATAAATTCGATTATAACTGTAATAATACGGTGACAGACAAACTGATACTGCCAATGGCACATTTCCGCCTTTGTTAGTTTTCTAAATGCTCGTAACTTCCTTCTTTTTTTT